TGTATTGAGCCATCTCCCCAACCCTACCCCATGATTCTTAACAAAAATCTGACTTGTGGATTTCAGAGTAGATCCTTTAAAATGGTCATGTTTATTTTTCTGGCTCTCTGGTAAATATTTTTAATCATAGTCATGATGTCTGCCTAATGATTAGGGGACGATCTCTTGAAAATGAGATGGAGGGCCAGCCAGATAGCTCAGTGGACTAAAGCACCTGCTTAGTCAGGCACAGGGACTGTGTTTCTTTTTCTTTTTCTTTTTTTTTTTGCTTTTCTTTAGGGACTGGGTTTTGATCCCTGGCTTGCTGAGGTGGTGACTGAGATTGGACGTGGTGGTGTGCACCTATAATCCAGTGCTTAATCCACTGTGTAATGAGACCTTGTAGACCTTATACTAAATACATTAAATAAAAGAAAATGAGATGGAAGCCAGGCATGGTAGCGCACCCCTGTCAGCAGGATCCTGGTGCAGGAGTATCGCACAAATTTTTGCCTAGTCTGGGAAACAGCAAGGCCATATCTCAAAATAAAAAATGTCAAAGGGTTGTAGCTTAGGGCTCATATCCTGTGTACTACCAGGAAAGAAAAATAAACGGGGAGTTACAGGTCCCTCAAAGACCAGAAGGCTTCCCTTGTATTCAGAAAACATTCACTGCCTGTGGGCAGAGCCTGCAGCAGGGTGCAGCTGAGGGCCCTGGAAGGGTGGCGCAGGAGCTCAGACTGTTGGTTTGCTTGACCTGTTTCCAATTGGTAACCCCTGGAGTTTTCATCTACTGGTGAAAGAGTTTTTATAAAAAGCTTTCAGAGGTTTTAAATATACTTGAAATTAGCAAACATAATAATGAAATGTTTTTAGGAAAAGTAAGCTGCTTTTATCATGTGACTGGCAGATGATGTGTTAGAAATTAGAGGAAAGGTATAGGGTGGCTGGGTCCTGTACAACAAGAACTTTGGAAACATACCTTTTCAACTTGTCTCAGAAACACGAGGATGTGGCAGTGTTGTAATTAGAGGAAGCAAAATGAGAGAGAGTCATATCCTTGTAATAGTTTATCACAGTCTCTAGACATCGTTAATAAGAGTTTATAGTGCCTGGAAAGAAAAAGAGTTGACAGAAAAAGGGCAGAAATACTGTGTTACACATACTTGTGGGGTAAATAATAGAGAAATCGATGACACGCTAGGATCACTGAGTGCGGTGGTGTACACGTAAGCTTAACAGTCTGGGAAGCCGAGGCAGGAGGATTACAAGTTTAGGCTCAGAAAAGTAAGACCCTGCCTGAAAGTTAAAAGGGGTTGGGGACATAGATCAGTGAAAAAAAATTAGGGTTCAGTCTTACCACTGCCCCCTAAGTACACACCAATTTTGTACACACTTCAGCAGTTCACTGTGCTAATGAATGTGTGGAAGCTAACGACCTGCACTTCGAGCACTTCTCGTGATTGCAGAGGCCAAAGGAGGCTTGTATCAATCTGATGATATCCCAATAAATTTAGTATTAAATATTTGTACAGCTTTTTCTGATGTATACTTCTTTTGTGGACTGCATAAACACCAAGGTTACACCTTCTTGATGCTCAGTTTTTCTGTAGTGATGAAGCCTCTTTTTATATTTCTGTTCTTTGTTTTGTTTTTGTCTTAGCCTACTTTTAAGCTAGGCAGCAGAAGTGCATTGCTAGATTCTCACCAGCAGTCACAGGCTTGGGTTGAAAACCCAGGATTCTTCGGATGTAGCATACTTCCCTCCAAGAATCCCTGAATCTAGTTTTGGGGAGTGGGTTTTTCTAAAAGGCATGCAGGGGGCTTGCAGGTTAGCTCAGTTGTTTAAGTGCCTGCTCTGGCAAACCCAGTGAGGTACAGGGGACCACGGTTTGATTCCCAGCTCCACATTCCTTACCAGACCCACGTACCCTTAAGGCAGTCTGAGCCAGGGTGCCCCCCCCGCCCAAAAAAAAATCCATCTGAAAGGCACCCAGCTAGACTTCACACACAGTTTGAGCACTGCTTCCCACCTACTTGCAAAGGATTTATAACCAAGGTAGAAAAGTGACCGTGTAAGTCACTTGCTCTTTTCTGCCCACCATGCTTACTTCTAGGATTCCTGTCATAGAGAAGGTTGGTTATTCTCATTGAGCCAAGGAGACTTCATTGTCTTTTTCTGTCTTTAATAATAGAAAATGGCTGTTCCTTGGGTCTTCGTGCTGAGGTTATCATTATGGAATATAATAACAAAACTGCTAGGGGCTGATGAGATGGCTCAGTGGTCTAAAGCACCTACTTAGAACAAGCTTAGCAAAGCACAGGGACCACGGTTCAATCCCCCAGCACACCAGCCCCGCCCCCTAGTGGGCTGAGCTGGACACACACACATACACACACACACAGAAATAAATAAAAAATAAATAAATTTATAATAAAAATAAAACTGGGCTGGTGAGATGGCTCAGTGGTCTAAAGCACCTACTTAGAACAAGCTAAGCTAAGCAAAAGCGCAGGGACCGCGGTTCAATCCCCAGCACCACATGCCAGCCAGCCCC